TGATCCCCTGGCTTGATGGTAATGGTTGAGTGGGGGATATGCCGGGCTATGAGTTTACAGATTGCGCTGGAGTACAATTCTGCTGCTGTTGCTGGCCCACAGTGCCTCATGGATACCCAGTCTTGAGTCGCTAGATCTGTGCGGTCTGTCCCATTTAGCGCGATGATAGTGCCACACAACACAATGTTCTCAATGTGAAGGCGGGACTTCATCTCCACAAGGACTATGCAATGGTCACTCTTACCGATACTGTCATGGACAGATGCAGCTGGCAGATTAGTAAGGATGAAGTCAAGTATGTTTTTCCTCTTGTTGGTTTCCCCCCCTAGTCTAGCAGCTACGTCCTTTAGGACCCGATCAGCTCAATCAGTAGTACTGCTGCTGAGCCACTCTTGGTGGTGGACATTGAAATCCCCCACCCAGGGTACATTTTGTGCCCTTGCCATCCACACTGCTTCCTCCAAGTGTTGTTCAACATTGAGGAGTACTGATTCATCAGCTGAGGGAAGACGATATGTGATAACCAGCAGGAGGTTTCCTTACCCATATTTAACCTGAAGCCATGAGACTTCATGGGGTCCAGAGTCAATGTTGAGGAATCCTAGAGCAACACCCTCCCGACTGTATACCACTGTGCCTCCCCCTTTGCTGGGTCTGTCCTGCCGGTGGGACACGACATATCCAGGGATGGTGATGGCGGTGTCTGGGAAATAGTCATATTCACAGAATTATACCTTACAGACAATGTCAGGCTGTTGCTTAACCAGTCTGTGAGACCGCCCTCCCAACGTTGGCACTAACCCCCAGATGTTAGAGAGGAGGACTTTGCACGGTCAACAGGGCTCTTTCTGCCGTTGTCTTTTCCGGTGCCTAGGTCGATGCCAGGTGATCCATCCAGTTTCATTTCTTTGAGGCTTTGTAGCGATTGGTACAACTGAGTGGCTTGCTAGGCCATTTCAGATGGCAGTGAGAGTCTACCACATTGCTGTGGGTCTGGAGTCACATGTACGCCAGACCAGGTGAGGGTGGCAGATTTCCTCCCCTGAAGGGCATTAGTGGACCAGATGGGTTTTTCCGACAATCGACAATGATTTCACGGCGTTCAGTAGATTCTTAATTCCAGAATTCTTTTTTTTTGAATTCCAATTCCACCATCTGCTGTGGTGGGATTCGAACACGGGTCCCCAGAATATCAGCTGGGTATCTGGATTAATAGTCTATCGATAACACCACTAGGCCATTGCCTACCCTTCAGACTAATGAGGGGGGAAATCTCAGAGAGACTTATAAAATTCTAAGAGGACTGGACATGGCAGACGCAAGGAGGATGTTCCCGATGGCAGGTGTGTCCAGAACCAGGGGTCACAGTATGAGGATTCGGGGTGGCCAATTTAGGACAGAGATGATGAGATATTTCTTCATGTAAACAGTGGTGAGCCTGTGGACAGGAAGTAGTTGATGCCAAAAATATTGAATGTATTCAAGAGATGACTAGATATAGCACTTGGGGCGAATGAGATCAAAGGTTATGGGGAGAAAGCAGGATTAGACTATTGAGTTGGATGATCAGCCATGATTGTGAAGAATGGCGGAGCAGGTTCGAAGGGCCAAATAGCTTCCCCCCCGCTCCTATCTTCTTTGTTTCAACGTAAACAGTAGGACACTCAATACTACTAGAAACAGAGGGAATTTGAAGGTGTTTTGTTCACGGATCGCTGGAGGCAGCTGGACAGGGCAATACTGTAAAGATTGCATATGGGACATTTGCCTTTATCAGTTGTGACATTGATTATAAGTGCAAATCTCAGATTTAAAATGAATAACTGATCGAGCATCTACTGCTTTTTGTAGAAGAGAGTTCTAAACATCTGCCATCCTTTGTGTAGAAGTGCTTCATAACACTCTCTCACCCTCACACACGCACACTCTCTCACTGTCTCTCAGCACTCCCCCACACACACACAGACACTCTCTACCCCCATGTGAATCTATGGGGTGAATCTGTAGTTGCAGATACATTCTATTTTGTTCAAAAAGCACACAATTTATAAACAGCCAGCAAATGTGGCATTTTATAAATTCCTACTTTAGAAATAAAACCAGCCTGATTTCAAACCAAACCACAAACAGATTCTAAACAAGGCCTCACACCTAACATGCATTGTGTGACCTAAAATGTCACCTCTTCTCTACATTGATAAAACCTTTAGTTCTCTCAGGGCAGTGACTTGAAAGAAATTTGGGGATTTACATATACATATTAATCAAGGAAAACCTTCTAAGTGATTAAAGATTTAACAGCATCTTAGGTTTGTTTAATACATCCTCATGAGTTGTGTGACCCTTTGATCTTTTACTTATGAATTCTGTGTCTGATGCCACCTGTCTCACTAACACCTGGAGGAGGAGCATGGCTCCAAAAGGTTTTTTATCAAATAAAACTGTTGGACTCTAACCTGGTGTCATGTGATTTCTGACCCTGTCCACCCCAGTCCAACAACGGCATCTCCTCATCATAAATTAACCAGTGAAGTCCAGGTATCATTCTTATAAAACTACATTATACTCTCTCCAAGGCCAATATATACTTAGAGAGTCATAGAATCATAAATTCATACAGCACAGAAACAGACCCTTTGGTTAAATTTGTCTGTGCCAACTAGACATCTCAATCTGACCTAGTCCCATTTGCCAGCATTTAGCCCATATTGCTCTAAAACCTTCCTACTCATATACTCCAATGCCTTGTAAATATTATAATTGTACCTGCCTCCACCACTTCCTCTGGTAACTCGTTTCATACATGCACCACCTTCTGCGTGAAAAAGTTACCCCACGGGTCCCTTTTACATCTTTCCCCTCTCACCGTAAACCTCTTGTTTTGAACTCCCCCACCGTAGGAAAAAGACCTTGACTATTCACCACATCCATGCCCCTCATGATTTTATAAACCTCTCTAAGATATGATGCCCAGATCTGCTCACAGTACTCCAAGCAGGTTCTAACCAGGGCTTTGTATGATTGAAACATAACTTCGGCACTCTTACACAAGTCCTCTAGAGACAAAGGCCAGCATTCCATTGGCTTTCTGCACCACTATATTTAACTTAATACCATCTAGAAAGTTTCCTGATCTATCCCTTTTCTGTCCGAAATAAATAACCTCACACTTGAGTTAGGATTCAAAACTTCACCAATCTTAGCCTTGAACATAGTCAATACCTAAGTATTTGCAGCCCTTTGGTAAAATGAAATCCAAAAATTCACAACTCTTCGAATTAAGCAATTTCACTTCATCTTCAGTCCTAAGTCGATTAGCCTGAGACTGTCACCAGCCAAAGGAAACAATCTCGACATTTGACCTGTCAAATTCTTCCATAACAATGTGTTTCAATTAGATCTGGCCTCATTTTTCTCAGCTCAAGGCATATTTGCATGCTTGTGCACGAATGACGAATTCTCCAGTTCTTGGGATGCTATTTGAAAATAACCTCAATTGGGTGCCATTACCTTTCAACCTACCAAATGTACATGAGATCTACTAAACAAAGTGAAGGGCATAGCTTTATTTTGACTGTAATGTGACAGGGATTGGACAGAGGCTTGCATACACCTGTAGTTCATAAAGTCTTGTAGCATGGAAGGAAGTCATTTCACACACAATACCTTTTCCCACACTTTGAAACAACTTTCCAATTAATTCCAATCTTTTCCATCTGTCATTTACTTATTTTCCTTTGAGGCATATGTCCACCTGATCAAAGGAGATCCACTGGTAACTACCACCTTGTCAGGCAGTGTGTTCATGTGACATGTCACTTTCATAGAATCCCTACAGTGTGGAAACAGGCTATTTGGCCCAACAAGTCCAGACCCACTCTCCGAACAGCATCACACCCTGACCCATTCCCCCATCCTATCACTGTAACCCTGCACTTCCCATGGCTAACCCACCTAATCTACACATCCTGAACACTATGGGCAATTTTAGCATGGCCAGTCCACAAAACCCCCACATCTTTGGACTGTGGGAGGAAACCGGAGAACCCAGAGGAAATCCACGCAGACAAGAGGAGAATGTGCGAACTCCACACAGGCAGTTGCCCAAGGCTAGAATTGAACCTGGGTCCCTGGCGCTGTGAGGCAGCAGTGCTAACCACTGAACTACTGTGCCATCACTGTCTACAACCAGGATGATATCCTATAAGCCAGGGCTCAAAATACATGTAATGGATGACAAATTCACTCCTCTTGAAGCCACTAAAACACTTGGGAAAATTTAATTACAAGAGTGATTTACAGGAGGCAAGTCATTCCATAAGCAAAACAGAATCTCTGAGGAGCTGCACCTATAAGTCACAAATGCAGCAGGCCAGGCAGCATCAGAGGAGCAGGAAAGCTGACGTTTCGGGTCAGGACCATTTCTGAAGAAGGGTCCCGACCCAAAACGTCAACTTTCCTGCTCCTCTGATGTTGCCTGGCCTGCTGTGTTCCTCCAGCTACACACTGGGTTATCTCTGACTCCAGGATCTGCAGTTCTTACTATCTCTGAGCCACCTATAGTCACAACTTGTTTTTATCATGTGCCTACTGCTGATATGTTCATGACAGTTGGATTCATTTGTATTTGGTGGTGCTGTTTAAGGAGAAGAACAGTTCCCATTTTAGTGAGAGAACTTCCCGATCTTTCACAAATAGCACCAAATTCTTCAGTGGCCTTTGGAACAATACAAGGGGCTTCAGCATATCTATACCAAGGTATACTAAATAAAAATTGAATACCACTAGTTATTTGGAGACTACATGCTTTTATGCAGAAATTAAAATTGCACTCAAGTTTTAACTCTTTTTAACTCTTCACAGCCCTGGGCACATCTTAGAAATATGAATAAATAAAAGCTTTTATCATCCATAAATTAATTTATTTTTTGGTACATTAATTTAAATCATCTTGAAACTGAGCAGGATTATTCCATTTTTATAATTGAGCACCTGCGCAAAGATTTGTCTTTCAGTCTAGATAAGTTCCTCTCTCTCCAGTTTTCACTCACATGGGTTTTGCTGGATTTTCAGAGAAAATCATTGCATTACTGACCTGAAGGCCTCATCACCTTTGAGCATTACTTGCCAAGTTCTGAGCCTCAGTCACGGAGAATATGGAGACACTGAAAATATGTCAGCCATTTCCTCTCAAAACACAGTGCAGAGTCATGAAGCTTAAATCTCATTGTGGGCCATCATCTGGTATTTATCTGTCATTTTATTATTAACAGATTGATACACAAATTACTAAGCCCTACTCAGCAGTCTACATAACTGATGTCCAGTAACTGTACTAGAAAATGATTCCAGAAGTGACAACAGAATACAAATATAGTGTACAATTATAAAGAACCATTGTTTCAGAAAGAAGTCTTTATCGCAAGAGGATTTGAATACAGAAGTAGTGAAGTCCTGCCTCAATTGTACAGGAGCGTGGCTAGACTGCACTGGAGTGCTGTGTGCAGTTTTGATCTCCTCATCTCAGGAAATATATTATTACCATAGAAGGTTCACCAGATTTGTTCCAAGTAAGGCAAGACCGACGTACGAAGAGAGACTGAGCAAAATGGGCCTGTATCCTGTAAAATTTCAAAGAATGAGAGGTGATCTAATTGAAAATTACAAACTACTTAAAAGGAATAGTTAAGGTAGATGCAGGTAATGTTACGACTAGTTGCGTGCGGAAATGCAGCCCAGTTATTCCCAGCAGTGTCATAAAGGTTAAAGCTTTTATAAAATATGCTAATGTTCCACAATTTCCAGGCCAAGTTGATACAAAGCAAGGACCTAACCATGTTTCTGAACTGAACAAGGATCACTAATTATTGCAAGTATTTAGACTTTAACTTTTTAACCTGTAGTTATAAACCATTGGCATATCACACTAATTAAAACTCTAATCCTCTTAAAAATTTCCCCTTACACAGATAGGGTATCCACTTAATTATGGAGCTCCCATGCCATGAACATGCTAAATTGCTCCAGCACGAGCATCCAAGTGGAAGGCTGAACACATAAGGAGAACAAGATGCGACTGTGACTCACAAACCAATATCTTACTGACATTGTCATTTCATAACTCACTTTTGAAGAAGGAGCACTGAGTTGCGTACTGAAGTTCTACAGGCTCTTGAAAATAAATTATAATACTACATGAAGAGAAGGTGAAAACTGTGGACTGTCTACAGCATTCTGGTCACCTCAGTGGCACACATTCACTCTACATCTCATTCTGAAGATCTTTCTCTCCCTCTCTTACTTCAAACTCAGCAGATCCACATTTTCACTCCCTCGTGTATACATCCATTCTTCCTTTCAGACCATCGAGTGTGCCAACTGAGGAGGGTTAGGCAAGGGGAATGGGGCAAGACCACTTTGAACTTGAACAGAACACCAGCTTACAAACTGGATTAGAATGGCAAAGAATACAGCTGAACCTATAATTTCAGAAAAAAAATGGGCAGATTTACTATTCTTGGGACAGAAGATGAACACAGCATCAAGAAAGCAACAAAATTAAAACAGACTGACTGAATGAGTTTACATGATACGTTACCTTGTATCATCCGATCACCAACATAGGTCGTAGTCATACTGAGAAGCTACAGCAGCTGCTGAAGGATTAGTTTACACAGAATTAAAGGTTTTCCAATTTAAAGCAGGTTCAAAAGTTCAAGGAAAATAAACAAAAACACAGGATATGAGAATGCAGATTTCACACACTGCACAGGAAGACTGGACTTGGAAAGCTGTGGTCCAAGCAGACTGCAATGTCAAGGATGATATAAAGTTGGCAGTCTGGCACTCAGGCAAGTATTGTGGTTCGATGTTAACTGCTAAACTAGAAGGTTAAGAGGTTGAGTAATAGAAAACCCTTCAATCAAACTTGTTCAGCTGGCTAACCCCGCTAAATATCAGCCAGCATGCCAGAGGGAATATTACGCATTCACAGAAGGAGAACAGAAATCCCTACTTTATCCTGCCAGCACCGAGACCACCCCTTGGCAGGTGCAGAGTTCGGTCAGCCCCTACTTTCCATTTCCAGAAATAATACCATATAGGTGCAAGAGAAGCTCAAATGAAACAGAAAGGCACAACTTAATGGATCTCTTGTCATAACAGCATCAATGATGCTCGTAACAGGTCACTAGAGGTTTGCTATAACAAGGTGTAGAGCTGGATGAACACAGCAGGCCAAGCAGCATCAGAGGAGCAGGAAGGCTGACGTTTCGGGCCTAGACCCTTCTTCAGAAATGGTGGTGGGGGGGGAAGGGGGTTCTGAAATAAATAGGGAGAGAGTGGGAGGCGGATAGAAGATGGATAGAGGAGAGGATAGGTGGAGAGGAGACAGACAGGTCAAAGAGGCGGGGATGGAGCCAGTAAAGGTGAATGTAGGTGGGGAGGTAGGGAGGAGATAGGTCAGTCCAGGGAGGACGGACAGGTCAAGGGGG